CACGGCACAGGGCTGACACTGAAATGCCTCTTGGCTGCTGGAAACTAATGGCCTCGAGATGTGAGAGGCAAATATTAAGTGCTGTTCTGATCAGATGATCGGCTCTTCTGCTAAAACAGGCTATCTGTTAGCTATTACTGTAGTGACTTTGAGGGAATATTGGAGCAAACCATTGCTTTTCTGCTAGATTTCCAGCTGTAGTGATTTTTAATAATTTCTTAGGCTAGTTCACTGTCTAATTGTTGGTTAGTTTTATTGTAACGTGGTCCTGATAACAATATATTTTTTTACCACATATGTGGTTCACATTTTCCTACTATTTCACTATAAAATGCAACGTGTTAATCTATGGTTGACCAAACTTCGTAGATAAGCTAACTTTATTTATGAAAAGCCTAAATTGGTGCTTCCTTTTGTAAGGTTTAGTCTATTTTGGTTCAGTTTTCTATATAATCTCTAGTTTCTTTGATATCATGTCCAAGCCTAATATCTCCCTACTCCTTTTAGGTTACCTCTTTTTATTTAATCTATATAAATAAATGTACTTTTCTGATATTTCTTTCTTTCTTTTTTTACCTCATCTTAGAAGTGTTGTATTAAACATTGTTTTATGTCATTTGACTAATTTTTCTAAATTTCAGTTTCACTGACTGCATATTGGGTCATTTTGGATATATTCTTTTTATTTTTCTGTAACATCCTAATTAGTATTCAAGTTTTGAATAGGTTTGCCAAAGTGAATTAACTTTTAATTCCATTACTTGATTAACAAATGAGCCATCCCTGCAGTGTGTGTTTTCCAACAGACCAACAGAGACTGAAAAATAAGAAAAAATGAAGTGAACGTGGCAAGAAAATGCCGATATGAAGTTTTAACCCTCCCAATGTCAGCTAACCATATTAGCATTCCCACACGGGGGGAGGCTGTGAGTTGGAATAGAAATGGGCTGGTTCAGTGAGCAGGGGGAGCACAGGTCCCATTCGTCTTGTCCTGTTTAAATACACTGGTTAACTCCTGCCAACAGGGAGGCCATTCAGCAAAAGGCCAAGGGCATCTGTCATGTGTCCAGCACATTGATATTGTCCCCTTCTATCTCACCCCTTCTCCTTCTCTTTCCCCCTTATTCCTTCTGCATTCTTTTTTTCTTCAAATTACCCCCCTCCTTGTTTACCGTCACTCTCCCACTTTTCCCCCTCTTCCCTCAACCTCTCCTTCTCCTCCTCCTCTTTCTGATGAAAGGAGTGAATATGCAGGGAGCTGACATGATTAGCAGCCTCATATCCCCATGATGGATGGTGCCTGCTCCATTATTAATATAGTAAAAGCACCAACTGCCAGGTAAGAGCAATGTCAGCATCCACAATATAACGCTGTGTGCCCACGGATAATGGTGAGCACTTATTTTTTTTAATCTATCATATGCATGAGCTTCAGGCTGATGAGGAGCAGGAGGAAGAGGAGGAGAAGGAGGAGGAGGAGATCTGGCGGTGAACACGTCTGGAAATTGGTGCAAAGATTTCACTTTAGTTAATTCCCAGTGATGGGCGCTGACTGTGGCACTCCAGCAAAACCATCTGTGTCTCCACAGCTGTGTCAGTTTAAGGGACAAGCGCCACTTTAATATCAGGTTATATGACAAAATGGAAAAACAAAAAAAATCTGTTTAAAATGAACTTTGACAGTTTCTCACCATGTGAAAAATACACCAGTTTGTTTTAGAAAGATTTCACAGCAGTTATAGCAGACTATATCAGACTGTTTCAGTCTAATGACGATTGAGCTCCATTTAGCTGTTTGTGCTACTCTTGGCTAATCTTCCCGATGATGTTAAGTTGCTTCTTTTCCACCTAAATAAATAAATAAATACATTGATATTCCTAAACAATCTTTGTGCTAGCGCTGTACCTGCTGCTACTTGTAAGCTACTGTTAGAGTTGTATCTACTTTTCTGTATTGTGTTTTTTGCTGTTGTATGTTTGGACTAGCATTTAGCTTTTACCAAGCTAACATATGATACAAATTTTCAAAAAGAAATCAGTCATTGTTTAGCAGATGTTGCTAAACATTAAGGGAAATTGATGCTTTTGTTATTTTGTTAGATCTAATGATTTCCATTGGTTCCATGTGTGAACCTTTACACAAAATACTGTTGTAAAAGTTTGAATAAGCAACCATCCAGGAACGGATTAATCCATTTTACATTGATTCCTGTGGGAAAATTGTTTCAGTTTTTGAACTTTTTGGTTCATGATTAACCCTTAGGAATTAACTAGGTTCGAGAACTAAGGTTTCACTTTAATTAGAATCAATCATTAAATTGAAACCAATGTAATTTATTTTGGTCAACACAGAAAATAATGGAATAAAAAAATTGACTGACCAGATTCCGGCAACCCTGGTTAGTATGATTGTATGATGATCACAGTTAAAGGTTACTGGATTTGAGCGAGAACGGATGTCGGTGGCTATAATGGGCTAACGTAAACCTAGCTCTTGGCTAACTTCAATCATCTGATACAAATCTTTAAGTCAGCACCTTTGTAGTGGTTAACTAAATATATATACATATGTGGATCTAATTCTTTAAATTATTTTCCTTGATTGGCTGACGTGTCAACCACATTACAGCAAGAGATTAAAATATTTTTAAGTAAAAAACAAACATATGTAGCTATTATCAGTCCTTATCTGGATTCTACAGGCCAGTGTTCCTACAGTAACCTGGTGTTAATCACACCTGGGCTGAGATTTTAACAAACAGTCGTCAGTGTAAAATACTGTCAGGGATGTAAATCTCTTCATGTGTCAGCTGAGCTTCAAATGAACGTGGCCTGAATGCAAAAAGAAAACCTGGGAACTTAGACTGCAGTTGTTCTGTGACGGAAATTAAAATCAGTCTTATCATAAATAAGCCACATTTGTGTGTGTCTCCCCCCCCCCCCCCCCACCCTCACCGTGGCCCACTGCGTTGTTTTAGTAACATGTTGAGCATCAGCACAGCCATAAAATTGCAGGACATTTTTGTGGATGCAGCCAAACTGGGTTGATGCATTCTTGTAGTCGAAGGCTTTTCGCCGTGACTTTAACATGATTATTTATAAAGCTCTACATCATCAGGCGATCAGCTACTGCTACTATAAACAAAATAAAGGCTGACTCACTGAATGATTAATCTTAGCCAGTATTTTCAGTGAGACGCGTGTTGGTGCTGAAAGACTGGACGTGCCTGTTTTATCACAGGTTCAGTGTAACTAAAATATGAGGGCCACTACTGTTTAGACCGGGACAAACTTTTTGACTCGCGGGCCGGGGGGGGGTTAGTTTTGGTTAATTCCTCAGATAACAGGCTGTAATAACACTTAAAAAAATAAAAATCGTTAGTTTAATAAACAAACCAAATTGCAGAGTTAACCAAAACTGCAATACAATGTAGCCTCAGTGAGTCCTCCAAATACACACTGTAATGTAAAAACAATAGCTTTGGGATGGCATAAAGAATGCATAACAATAGCAGGATTTATGTTTTAAATATTTTACACTTCAGTCAGCCATGCAATGACTGGCTGAACATGACAGGTTGTTGTTGCTTTCTTCTCTGTTCATTCCTCCGCAAAACATGGTGAGATGTTGACTGTAGGATTCTAGAAAAGTGTGGAAAGGACAGAGAAATAATCAACCAACGGTTTGAAGATTCTAATGAGGGGGAAAGGAGGCGGTGGGACACAGGCGCAGGAAATAAATAGAGCCAGTGTGACTTGAATCCAGTGGATAAATGTCAGCGGCTTCATTCCCAATCCGAGTCGAGTTCCCTCTTCCCTAACTGCCATGTGTAAATCTGGTATCCGCGGCCCTCGGCCAGCTTCTCCCTGTACTGTAATGAGATTACAGACCCTCCACAACTGAGCGTGTGGTGAGACAGTGAGACTACAGTGCTGAGCCTGCATGGAAGTGAACTGTTTCAATAGCTCACACAGAGTGAGTGAATCAGTGGCATTATTCATGCTGTGAACAAGACATAGCCAAAGAGATTTGCACTATTTGCACAGCCATTCTTGTTAGGATGCTGCGTTGATGGATTAGCTCGACTACCATGACTAACTCTAACCTTAAACTCTCCACAATTCACATCTTGTGTCTCAGGAACAGGTTTTTACTGAATATTGTCCACATTTTGTTTTCATGAGAGCTGCTTCTCATTGAAATGTCACGTATCCTCCAGGACACTGGAGGACCCAAAGCCATTTTCCAAAGAACAAAAGATTCTTAATCACAATGGCCGCCCAACATTTTAGCTCGCTGAAAACACTGTAAAAATGTTGGTACAGCAAAACAATGACTGTTCAACTCATCTGGTCTGTTTGTTTACGCTGACTTAGAGACAGTGTTGTAGAGTTCAAGTCTTGGACTTGTGACTTGGACTCGATAGTTTCGACTCAACTGAATAATTCTCAGGTCTCAGCAATACAGTAGATCGTGTATAAGAACTGAACAGCTCTACCTAAGTTGCAGGATGTTGAGTAGTGATGGCAATACCAGAATTTATTATTTGATATTGACACTTGTCAATCACTGTGTGATTTTCCTGAACCCAATAAAAACATGACATGCAAATTTTCCATGTATTAATTAATATTGATCCTTTATGAGCGTAATCAATGCTCAATCGATGCTCGTGAAATATCGATACCATGGAATGCCATGGTAACAACTTCATTTCCTGAAGATGATTCTTTTTTTTGTTTGTGATGGCGACCAATCACGACAGTCACCATCAGAATGTGATCAGGCTCCTATTGGACAACACAGCTTTCAGTCACTTGTAGAAAATCAGCCATCCCACTTATTTTTAACTTGATTTTTTAAAATTTACTAGATGTTTTGAAGAAGAACACTGTATATAGTTTATTGTTCTTCCTCTATTGTCCTTGTTTGCAGACTAACTTAACAGGACTTCATTGTTTGGAACAGTCATTAATTATTGGATAATTAGAGATGAAAAAGAAACCCAGTACTACACACTCTATATTTTATTTTATTTTTAAATGATGTTATGCTACGCCTTTGTGCTGTGTGTATTTACCCCATTATTTTGCTATACAGAAAAGTTTAAAAAATCATATCAAAATTTCCCAAAGGAAAAGTCTAATAATCCATGACTCGTACAACTCCCCGTGGATGTTGAAGACACCGATGCTGAAGTGGAGACTTTGTGCTGTTTTATCTGATCCACAGAGCAGAGCTGCAGCCCAACTGTCCTGATGATGAGGGAGACGGAGTTCAGCATCACCAGAGCATATGGTGATTTTTCTCCAGCCTGCTGCCTCATCCTGCAGCTCATCATAATTAAATATTTACACAGTGGCAACAATATAGCTGCCTATTAATACTGTCGGTGGCACATGATGTTTACACCACGGCTTCTCCTCTCAGACTACACTTTCAGACCTTTTTCCAAATCTAATATAGCCGTCCATAAATAGCTCACCTATCCAGCCCATATTCGGCCTGAGTGACGTGAGACCGCAGCCAATCCCTCCCTCCGTGCGCTCTTATCCCCGCCTCTTGAAGCTCCGCCTCCGCTCTAATCGCTCCTCCGCCGCCCATTCGCCTTAAATGGACAAACAGGGGAGTTGATTGACGTGCCAGACGACGCCCCTTCGTTTACCAAGCCCCGCCTCTGCTCCGGCTCCCTCATCACTTGTCTATTTTGGCAACACGCGTCGGCGCATGGAGCCTCCATCACCTCCAGTCTCCTTTTACGCACTGTGTTTGATAATGCGCGCCGGTGCAGGGAGCCTCTCCGCCACATTCCCAGCAGCCACCTCTACACTCGACAGTTAGACTTGCTCTCTGATTTGGACTAATATGACAGAAGTGGATGTAGAGGTGTGACACCGCCGCCGAGAACACGGGCTTTTTTTCCAGAGTGGATCATTTCTTGTTCCTCCCTCACCGCGCGTCAGCATGGATGTCTTGGCGAACCACAGTATCTTTCAGGAACTTCAGCTGGTTCACGACACCGGCTACTTCTCTGCCATGCCGTCACTGGAGGAGAACTGGCAGCAGGTACGTCTTAACTTTTACTTTTTTTTCCTCCCTTCTTCCTCCCTTATCTTTCACACCCTCGCAGATCTGAGAGCACACGCGCTCCACGGAAATATGCGGGCGTTAACTTTTCTTTT